CCACTCGCACACCTGCATTTGTCTCTCTCACGCTGATGACACAGAAGTGGCCTCCCCTGCAGCCCCTCTATGGCTTCTGCCCCTTCCTTCTGGACTCCTGCCCCTGTCAAGGCACTGCCATGCCTAGGGGGCATGGGGCCTTTGCAGAGAGCTTTGGGCCCTCTTGGAAGGAGAGCAGGGATAACTTCTTGCCCTACAGGAAGACCCAAGGTACTCTGGAGTGTAACAACGAGGTCCCCTCAGTGCTCTGGACCTGGGTTCTGGCCATTATGCTGTCCCACTGCCCAGCAAGGGCAGCTCGGCAGCAGGACTGTGAAGGACTTGAGCTTGTTCCTCACATCTGGCCTCTGCCTCATGGCCACAGAGCACTCAACCTGAAGAGGTGATGTGGTGAATCTTGGTAGCAAATCTTGCTTTCCACCAAACTTTTCTTCCTTCACAATGCAAGCACTGACCCATGGGCCATAGATTTTGGCCACAGAGGAACTGGCCACTTCCTGCCCCTCCAAGAGGCTATGGTGAGGGTTCATTTTGAATTTGCATTAGATGACAGTAAGTTTATTTCTTCCCTTTTAAAGGAATACACAAGCATTTTATGATGAGATATTATGTTTAAAGAGTGAATTTCAAATAACCAACTTGCATGATGGCTTGCCGCCTGTTATGTGAAGGAAAAGTCTTCTTAGTACTCCATGTTTTTTACTGCCACCACCTAAACTATCTGGTGGTCAGCCTGGGTCTCCAACTCAGGGAAACAACATTGGGAAAGCTCTTTAATTTTTCATTTTATTTAATTTTACCAAATCATTCATTATTCACCCATTTATTTGATTTGGTAATGAATAGCTTAAAAAGTCAAAAGGTATAAAGGGAATACAATAAAAGTCTTCCTCTTGTTTGTTCTCCATCTGTCCTGATATTCTCCCCTAAAGCAGGCCATGTTGCTATTTTCTTTTCTATTCTTCTTCTCCATGATGTTTTTACTGAACTTATTATCAAGGGTTTCCTCATCCTGTAGATGTAACTCATTCAAAAAGAAGCAAGCCTGTTCAAACAGAATTCTCTAAGGGCAAGTGCTGTCCCAAGTTTTCCTGCTCAGAGTGCTGAACCCTGATTCTAGATGCTGGATAGACCTCACCTGGTCCAGGTATCTACAGAGCGATCCCTGACATTCTTTAGCCTGACTGTTGATGAAGATTAGCTGAGGATGCCTGAGCTCACTCTCTGGCATGAGACCGAAATACCAGCCCCTGAATAATCTTATAGAAAATGAACCAAACAGAGACTATACCATGAGTTCTGGGGCCAATTAGGAAGGATGAGGGGGTGGGGTGGGGATCTGGCACCCAGGTGGCTAGAGGAAGTTCTGGAGGTGTTAGCATCCTCCTCTCTGGGCCACATTCCTCTAGCTCCTCATGGCCTCATCTGGATTTGATACCCATCAGTTTTACTAGACCCTGATGTACTGATCACAGGGAGCTTTCAGTCTGTGCTTCTTTACTCTGGGGCAGGCAGTTCCACGGATGCTGTGGCTGCTCAGCGATCTTGCTGGAGCACTGTCTCCCTCACTGATGATGCTGGAATATTCTCTTGCCCAGTAATCATGTTGGAGGTGCATTTTCTCAGTAAGGATCAAGATTCACCAGTTCTGGAAGCTCTGGTCCCCACATGCTGTCTGTCTGGAAGGTCTTAAGACCTCTTACATGGGAAGAGCCTCTTCCTGATTAGAGTCCAAACCGAAAACGGATCCTCCATTTACGAGCACCAGGACACTTCCAGCACAATATCATTAGATCTCGCCCAAGCAAAAGCAGCCTGGAACTTTATTGTTTAGCCACATCTTGCCCAATATCATGTGGGTTTCGCTCACAGAAGATCCTACATGGTAAGTGAGGTAGGAACAAGTCAGCACAAATAGAATTATAAATATCTTCATAGTGACAGATGAATGAAATCTAACTGGGTGTGGAAAACAGATGCATATAAACATCTGGAAGGATACAGGTTCAGACCTACTGAAATACTAAGAGGGTGATATAAAAGATAATACTAAAGCAAAAGCTACCTATGGGTATTTTATCTTTTGTAATATTTTGTACTTTCCTTCAGTCCCATCTATCTTCTTGCCCATATATAATGCACATTTTTACATAGCTGCAATCATGTTATGAATACTACTTAGGGTTCTATTTTTCACTTAGTATTATACACATTTGCCATATTGCTCCAATCTTTATTTTATAGCTGCAGAAATGCCATTGTGGTGATTCATAGCGAGTTTCTTGCCTTTACCTATTGTTGGACTTTATGTCTTCAGCTGTTTAACATTAGTAATAATTTTGTAAAGAACATCTTAGGATATTTAGCTTTGTGCTCTTGTTGATTTGTTTAGTATCAAATTCAAGGAGGGAACTGACTTGGCCAAAGTCTATGGACCTTTTTGTGAGCAGCAGCATTTTCTCTGGTACAAAGCTGTGTCGGGCAGAGCTCTGAGCCTCATACTGATCTCATTGGCTTGGGGCTCTAAGCCAATAGCTAGCATATCACCTGGCAACTGAGCAGGAGAGCAGAGGTTACTAGGTCCTGAGGGAGGCTGTTGCTGCACAAGTTCTTGGCTGATGACAGTAGAATGTATGCGTGGGCCATTCCAGGGGCCAGCCTCGTTTACAGAGGTTATTTATTTGTGGCTGCCATATAAGGACTTCTGAACCAACAACTGTTTGGGAGAAAAAGCAAATCAGTGCCTAGATTCCAGTTCGTGTGCTTTGCCTGTAGGAGTGAGGGCTGCATGGGTCGAAAGGTGCAAGTCACTGTATTCTCAGTGCAGAGACACCATTGCCGTCATCAGTGGCAGATGTCTAAATATGTGCAACACTCATGTCAGCTGAGGCCTTTGGAGAGCCGATTGAACTTGACCCTAAGCCAAGCCTTGTGAAAGCCTTAAATCGCAGCACAATTGTCCTGAGTGTCCACAGTGTACGTCGTCGTCTTGCTCAGACTTCACAGCCTCTTGTCCGAGTGTGCTGTCTGCTTCTGCCCTACATCCATTCCAGGAACAAAGCCTAGTTCCTTACCCAGTCTTCACAAAAGTCCACTTGCACCCAGACCTTTGTGAGTCTCATAAATTTACTGAAGACTAGGGCTCATGAGGCAGCGTCTCCTCATAGATTGCACTGCCCTTTGCTACCTTTCTGTCCCCTGTCATCTCTCTTTCTCAGTCTCATTCCCCTGAGCAACAGTCAACTGGTTTCTATTGGCCTTCTCAGAATGGTTTCCCCATATTCAGGCCCCTTCTGTGTCCATCCAGGCGTTTCACCCCAAGTAAATATGTATTGTTCCCTGAAAGAAATGCTGGTAGAAAATCTTTCTCCATCTTGACATCTGCTATCCATAACCATGTCCTTACAGGTAAGTGGCTAGTGGGGAGTTTTTGGTTTTAAATGAGACAAAACTCATATAATGAGGAGTTGTTTGCAGGGTTTTGCAGATAGTATCTCATTCAGACCTCTTAGCAGCCCTGACTGATGGTCAGGTGGACAGGTCCAACAGTTTGAATGTTTGCATCCCCCACAAAATTCATGTGAAGGTATAAAGAGGTGGGGCCTTTGGGAGGTTATGAGGATGGAGCCCTCATGGATACGATGATTAATGACTTCTTAAAGGAGGCCCCCCGAGAGCTCTCTTACCCTCTTTCCACTACATGAGGATACAAGGAGAAGTTGGCAGTCTGCAACTTGGAAGCTAGCCCTCACCAGAACCTGAGTGTACTGGCACCCTGGTCTTGGACTTCTAGCCTCTGTGGCTGAGAGAAATAAGTGTACATTGTTTATAAGCCACTCGGACCGTGGTAGTTGGTTAGAGCAGCCTGAATGGATTAAGACGTCAGGCATTATTATCCTGGCTTAGAGGTGAGGAACTGTGGCCCAGAAAAGGGGAAGAACCTAGCTCAGGCCACTCACCTGAGTACCGATGAGCTAGAACCAGAACCCAGACTCTACCGGGTTCAGCGCATGATCCTTCTCCGCACTACGCTACCAGGTTCGCCCTGGGAGCCACAGCGAGCTTTAAAAAACATGGCAGGCATCAATCCATGCCCACGCAGTAGACATTGCTGAGCCTTAGTCTCTGCCTGCCTTCAAGAGTGCAGAGGGAGGAAAGCTTGAACAAACTGAGGGACTTCTTATGACCCCAGCACCCAACTCTTTGTTAAAACCAGGTGTGACAGACAAGATGTGGCACAGACACACAACGGAATATTAATCGGCCATCAAAAGGAATGAAATACGGATACATGACAGCATGACGGGCTTTGAAAACATGCGAAGTGAAAGCAGCCAGACACGAAAGGCCACAGATTCCATTTGTGATTCCATTTGTGCGAAACGTTTAGAAAAGGCAAATCCGCACAGACAGAAAACAGGCTGGTGGGGCCAGTCTCGGGAGGGGGGTGGAGGTGGGGAGTGACTGCTTAATGGTTCAGGGCTTCCTTTTGGGGTGATGGAATGGAACTAGAGAGAGGGTGGCGGTTGTATGACATTGTGAATGGACTAAATGTCACTAGATTGTATACCATAAAAGGTTCATTTGATGTTATGTGGATTTTACTTCAGTTGAAAAGGAAAGGGAAAACAAACAAGCAGGTGTGGCTGCACTCCCCCTGCCTTCTGCTCTGTGCTTCCTCGTGTGGTTCCAGGCCACGGAGCTCCCTCACTGGACAGGGAGTGAACATAAGCAGACCCGGTTCCCAATTCTGTCACTTGCTAGCTGTGTGGCCTTGAGTTGTTCATGCCTCCCGCTAGACCTCCGCCTCCCAGCCTGCAAGATGAGGAGATGATGGCTCAGATTTTATTCATGTCCCTCCTAGGCAGGCCTTCGGGGATCCTGGGGGTAGAAAGGGGAATGAAATCGGATGAGGGGAGGAAGGCACTCTGTGTGTTTCTTTTGAACCTTTCTCTTCTTAGCAAGTAGACTGCCGGTGACTTTTAATTTCCTGTCCCCAGGCAGCAGGGAAACAGTCACACAGATAACAGCTTGGGCTCCCGGCCTGGCTGGCACCGCTGGGGCTCCCACCATGCATCACTGAGCAAGGTAAGCCCCTCGGTAATCCTGTTAAGCTGCTGGGGCAGTGAGTCATTTCAATACCACCCAAACACCTTCCTGTGGCGTCCCAGCGAGGAGAGGACCTCCAGCCAGATCATTATGACTTGATCCGCAGCAACATTTTAAACATAAATTGGAGCTTTTAATTGGGTTGTGACTTGGAAACTCATCAAGCCTAAATCAGTGTTCAGAAGAGGGCAAAGTGGGCTCATGCATTCACTTGTTACACATTTTCTGTGTCCCTATTACATCCCAGGCACTGTGCTAAGTTTCAGGAAGACATAGGTATAACATAGCCACTGTCTTCAAGGAATTCACTGTCTACTGGCAGGGACAGACTCGTAAACAGAAGTAAAATGTAGCATCACAAGAGTAGTGAAATAAAGGTGTAAAATGGGAAAATAGGCAATCCAGTGGAGAGAGAAGGGGTAGGCTTGAGGGTCAAGAAAGGTCTTTACCAGCATGCAGGGTTTTCAAGATTAAATGTGGGGACTTCTACATTCCAGCAGTGCTCTAAACAGGAGATGGTTTGAGTGGTCTGCTCCAGTGGGGAACAGCATTTTATCACTTTCGATGTTTGCAATTGTAGTGCAAGGTGACAATTAAAAGAAGCTAAATTTTAGTCTGTTTTATTATTGATTTTAAATTCCTACAAACAGTGCATCTCCTTATTACCCATACTGGGCCAGATTACTCTTCTCACTGCTACCAAGTACAAAAGACATGGCAGGGCATTCAAAGCAGACAGAGCAGCATGTGTTAAAAACACCAAAGTATGAAATTTTGGAGTGTTTTAATGGAATGGAAAGGAGTTTGGTAAATGGGGCATGGAGTATTTGGAAGAGGGGAGCTGGAAAAGAACTGAAAATGAAGCTGGGCCAATTCCTTGAGGGCCCAAGATACTGTGTTGTATTTGGGTTTTATTCTAGAGGCACTGGGGAGCCACAGAGGGTTGTAAGCAGGAGCCCCATGTCATCAACTCTGTTGTTGATGTTGCACTTTGACAGCTGAGGGTAGAGCATGAAGGAAGGAGGCTGCTCGGGAGGCCTTTGCAGCCATCTGGAGGGAGAGGATGAGGGTTCTGCCACAGTGGGTTAGAGGATGGAAAGGAGAGGGTGAGCTCCAGGGATATGTGGAAGGTAAACTTCAAAGGCTTAGAGTTTGATTAGAGGTGGAGTGAGAGAAGGAAGGTCTAAATAGTGATACCTAATTCTCCCTGCAAGTATCCAACAAATGTCACACTTGGAAGGGATGTTTGGGGCCACCTGCTCTACTATCTCTGTGGCCCAGAGAAGTGCAAGGTACTTACTGCCCAAGCCCAGGAGTTGGTGGCAGAGTCAGGATGGGATCCCAGTTTCCCAAGTCCCCAGCCAGGGCTCTTTTTTCTGGGATGGCTGCTCTGCATTACTCATGACCCTTCCTTCTATCCTGCCCCCCTCCTGGCCAAGCACTGACTGGACAGAGAAGGCCTGAGTTCCAATCCTTCCACTGCCCCTAAACCAGAATGACTTTGAGGAAGATCTTCCTTTCTTTGATCCTCTGTCTTCTCATTCCCAGATAAAATTCTTGCAAAAGCAGGGCCTCTCCATTTTTTTTTTCTCTTGCCACTAGTTTTATTTCTTTACTTTGCCACAGTCCCCACCATGTCTTTCTTTATACTAGGCCCACCTCACTCTTTCCTGCCTGCACCTGAAGGCAAGTGCACCTCTGAGCCCTGGCCTAGATCTCCCTGGGGGCCTTGTTGCCACGAGCAAGCCTCTCCTGCCTGTCTCTCGATGGTCAGCCTGTCTGTGGCAGAGGATCATCTTTCAGAGCTGCACGTCCCTGGGCTGGACCGCCATCCTGTCTCTGACTCGGAAAGCCTGCCTCTTTCTCTGCAGGTCTCTGTCTGGATTCTCTGCATTGCTCAGAAAAGGAACTTAATGCTGGGCGTCAGGGTTTGGGCACTGTGTCTGCGGGGTGGAGGCGTGCTCTGGGTGAGCTCCTTCAGGAGGAAATGGCTTCAGGACCTGTGACCTGTGCAGCTGGGGTCCTTAGTGTGACTAGCCCACTTTGCCTGCACTCTTGGGGCATCCAGCCTATATGGGCAGGTGCCTTAGGGCAGATCTCAAAGGCAGAAAGAGTTAAGGTGGGTTTTATCATCAAACCTTCTCGGATCCCTTCCTGCCCCAACCCTCCCAAGTGGCAGGAGATGAAAGAGACTCAGAACTGGGGAGGGAGGTGTGGGGCTTCTCAGAGGCGGTGGTGCCACCCCTCTGGCCAATGCAGAGTCTCTTCTGTGGCTTTCCTCTGTGTAGTCTTGCAGCCTTCATTTGAGCACTTCATGTTTGACTGTGCAGGGGAGCTTTCTGTCCTGATTCCACACTGTCTTCCAGATAGCCATCAATATGGCCTTTTTGTAGTTCCCAGTGATGGGCTCTCTCAGAACATACCAAATGTCTTTTGAGTATATGAAAAGAGACCGTATATCTAACTCCCTCCCAACTACCTTTCTGCCAGTTAAACCCAACCAATTCATATGTGGTATAGTTGCCATAGTCTTAGGATATGTTGTCTCCAAAAGGACAACACATCCAGATGTGGGTGGACTAACTTCTGTAGCAAACAAACCACAAATGCCAGTGACCTAACACAAAGAGGTTTATTTCTCCCATATATGACAATCCTTAGTCAGTGGGTGGTGGTTTTCTTTTACACAGGGATTCAGGGTCCCGGGTTCCTGCTGTCCTGGATCTCTCAGGGCCAGAGAGCCCTCTTGATCCTGCTGCCCACTGGAGGGACAGAGGTGGAGAAGGCACAGAGAGCCCCATCTGGAAGTGACACTTACTCTTCCACTCTCTTTCGATAGGTGAGACCAGTCCTGTGGTCGCACTTCATAGGAACGTGGGCTGGGGAATACAGTCCCTGGCTGTTCTGCTGCCCCTCAGAGACAACTCTACACAGTGGGGGTGGGGGCATTTGGGGGAAAGCAGCCCATCTCTGCCACACCAGGGCAACTCTTCCACCTCTCACTCCTGAGCAGCCAGCATGGGGAGTATGTGAGACGCCGGCGGGGGCTGGAGGGCAGAGCAGCTTCACCCCCTCGTGTTTCGAATTGGCAAGCAGTGTCTTCCTAAACTTCAGCTCTGCAAGCACCACTTTTGATATGTTTGCTGTATCTGAATAACACCTGTACTGTAATTGACTTCATATTCTCTTTGAATTGATCCACTATTTAATTTAGTTTCACCTGAATAGTAATATCTAGGAAATGATGGTTTTGATGTGATAATTATATTTTTCCTGATATACTCTAAAATAAATATATGATTATTCAAATAAAAATATTTGCAGATATAGCACTCCAAATATTTGTACACCACCAGTAGTATACCTTGCATAGTTTGAAAAATACTGTGATCGAGTCTATATAAATCCCTCCTGATCTGACCCCTGCCTTTCTCTCTGATCTCATATTCCATCCCTTCTCTATTGCCCATGGTTCTCCAGGTTCGTTGATTTTTTTAATTCCTTAAACCTGCCAAGCTCATTCCCACCCCAGGGCCTTTGCACTGGCTGCTACCTCTGTAGAGAACACTTCCCCTACATCTTCACATGTCTGGCTCTTTCTGGACATTAAAGTGTTAGCTCAGATGTCTACTCCTCGGGTAACCACCCAATCTAAACCAGCTGTCTCACACCCCACTCCACCCCACCCTGCAGTGATTCCTTATATCAGCCCTTTTAAGCACTTACCAAGATCTAGCATGGTCTGTTTATTTGCTGATCCATTTATTATTTCTCCACCCCTCGTTAGATGTAACTTCTGTAAAAGCAGGGATCTTACCTTGTTTACCTTTGCACAAATACACACTTCTTAAGTGTTTGCTAAATGAATGCAAAAAATGAAAATAGACACATAGATCACTAGTCCAATGAGGACTGAAATAAAGTTTTATCAGCTGTTTGAGAATCCATAATATGCATTTGGTAAACTGCTAGAGAAGGGAGCTTATAGGTTAGGTCACGGTGGGGCCCCCAATTCCACCCCTGAACTACAAGCATTTGAGCCTGCAAATGCACGGGCCACCTGACTTATCTGCCCAGCTAGAAAGAGAGAAGCTGGACAAGGTAGAGTGGCAGGCCAGCCCTGCCTCTGAAGATAGACCCTGGGCCCACTCACTGCAAAGAGCCAAGAGGTCAAAAGAGAGGGGCCAGGGACCCACTCGTCCATGTGAGGGACCACAGGCAGCCTCAGTGGCTCAGAGCCCACTCACTGGGACCGTGTGGCTCAGTGGCTGTCAGCTTCTACCAACCAGATTGGCTCCTGCTCCTCCTCCATGGGGGTGGATAAAATTAAGGGATATTGAAAAACCTTGGATGTGTTCAATCTGTATCTTGAGAGATAAGAAAGGGATTGAAAGTTATCTTACTTATAAAACTATGAAGATGGTAAACATAGCTTTGCTTGCAAATGAATCACCCCAGAAGAGAAATCTAAGATGAAGGAAAGGGCCAATGATACTCATTTCTCTCTCTCTACAGAAACACATTTGTCATGAACGTTGTGATGCAGCTCTCTGAACCCCAACCCAGAACCAAGGACCTCATTCCTGCCGCTCAGGACCAGGATCAGGACCTGGATCAGGACCTGGATCATAGCTGAGTCTCTTCCCAGCCATTGCCCTAGGCTGGAGGGAGCTGCCTTACCCAAGGCAACATGTCCATTCTAGGGACAGTTCCCATTTGATGACAAGTTGATGTGTGGGCACAAAGGTCTTGCCTCAGTCCAGGACAATTGTGAACGGTCGTGCCAGCTCCAGACCAACAGCATTGTGTTCAACCTCTCCTGCTACCCAACCCTGCCTTCCTCACACTCTCGCATTCCCGGGATACTGTCTGCTCACAAAACTCCCTCTCACAGGACAACATGTATAAAACCATAGCTGGCTGTGGCTTCCCCAATCCGTTGCCATATTTCCTAAGTAAGAACCGATTTCTCACCAAAGCCTTTTATTAGATTTGCTTTTTGTACTTGAAGTAGAGAGACAAACCGTATCCCAATAAAGGACTCTTGGCGCACCTAAAAGAATGGTGGGTCATTCCCTTAAACAGCTCAAATAACAAAGGTTAAAGTTTGGTGACGCACACCGAAAACATGAAGAACTTCTAGAAATTAAAAATATAATTCTAGCATAAAAATAGCATTGTTTTTAAAATGATGGTAGGTTGCCTTTATAAATAAAAATTTTAAAAACAAACAAACAAAAAAGTTTAAAATGCATGGAAGGCAATAAAAATAGCCAAAGTGAAGCAATATTTGTAAGGCAGATGCTGACACTTGTCCAGTCTGTTTCACACGAAGCACTGGACCCTGCTTACTGGCTGGGCCTTCGGCGTGTCCGGGAGTGCCTGGGTGGATGCTGCCGTAGTGACATCTCCTGCCACCGCCGGCTGTCTCAGACACCCTCGCCCCCTCACAGAAGGCCTGCGGTGTGGCACTGCCCCACCGTGCCCGCTGCATGGGAGCTTCACGGCGCCAGCTCCAGCGCCCAGGCCTGACCAGACAGGACCACATCAGCTTTTTTTCTTTCACCAGGTATGAGTTTGATGTCGCTTCCCCAGGGGCTGCCCAGGGGAGCCAGGCGGTACCACAGAAATCTAGGAGAGCTCAAGTTTGACCAGTGAGAGGCAGGAGGCAGAAGGAAGGTGATGATTACACCCTCACCTTTCTTCTGGCCCCTCCCTGCTCCTACCGTGGCCCTTCTCTACATAGAGCAGAGGTTCCCTGGACAAGACGTCTCACAAGTCCCAGCTGAGAGCACACCCTGGTGCTGCTGTGGCCAGTGTGGTCTTTGTCTCGCTGCATTTGTTTCCCCTCCTTCTGCCTCCCTTCCCTTTCGCCCTCACTCTTGCTGCCCTGGGATTACACACTCCCAGAAGGCATCGAAGTGTAGGCTTTGCTTCAAATTTTGCCCAGATGACCCAGATGAAAACACAGGCATTAATCTATTTGATTTTCATAAAAAGTCATTCTATAGGTGGGAGGGTGCAGGGGTTGGAATTATCGCCGCCATTTTTCAGCTGAGTAGACAAGGGGTACAATAAGCTATCCAAGGCCAAAGCTGCACAGCAAGTGGTAGATAAGGGCTCAGTCTATGCATTCTGGCTCCAAAGTGGCTGTATTTTTTTACATTTGCATATAATTTTCCATCAAGAGTATTTCTGTTCCTGAAAAGGTAATATTTAGGGGCAGGGTGGCAGTCTGGGGCTAGGGTGTGCAGTAATCACTAGAAAGGAAGGAGAACATCTCCTGACAAGAGGCAGATGACTTGAGATAAGAGTCCCATTGACTGGACTTGATAAGCCTTTCTACTCCAAGTTTTCACTTTCCACAGGTGAACTTTTAGGATTAGTGACAGTAAAGAGAATATTATTGCCATGCGTATTAGTTTCCTGGGGCTGCCATACAAATTACTACAAACTGGGTGGCTTAAAACAGCAGAAATTATTTATCTCAAAGTTCTGGAGGCCAGAAATTTTAAATCAGGGTATCAGCAGGGCCATGCTCCCTCTGGAGGCTCTAGGGGGGAATCTGTTCTTGGCCTCCTCCAGCTCCGGTGGTCGCCGGCAATCTTTGACCTGTTACCGCACCTCCCTCTGCTTGGTCTTCATTCACACCACCTTTCTCCTGCATGTGGCTGCATTATCTTCCTTTGCCTTTATCTTATGAGGACACTCGGAATGGCATTTAAGGCACTCCTGTTTAACCCTGTTTAACTCCTGTTTAACCTGTTTAATCTCCCCATCTCAAAATGCTTAACTTAATTGCATCTGTAACGACCCTTTTCCTAAAAATGTAACATTTACAAATTCCAGGGATTAGGACTTGTTATATTTGGGTGGCTATTATGCAACCTACTACACTATATAATAGGCTTCTTTGCCTGGAGACACCAGTGTGTTCTTAAACATGCTTAAAGGAGTTCTGAGTGTTCCTTTACATTACACTATTTGTCTTACCAGCTGGCGTAGAGCAGGAGTGCTCTGGGTTGTGGAGGTGGCTGAAGCCAAGCTTTCTTCTTACCCAGCAGTCAGCTAAGAAGTTACCCCGCCCTGCCCTCTGAGCCCGAGGTAGGAAGAAGGCCTTTCATGTCATCTTGATGGTGACATGATTTTCCTACTGCAGGGACCCCAGAGCACCCCTGGGCTGTATTGCCTCTGTTTGAATTTTCAGTTGCTGTCAATCACCATGATCCAATATTTATATTTTGCAGAACTATCTCATGGCAAGTTTTAGAGGAAAGGATCTTTCTAATCTCAAATATTTGCAGTACATGACCTTGCTGCACTTTGGCCAGTGATGTTGAAAACAGAGTCACGTGCAGCCCTGAGGTCCCCTACAGACATGTCTGTTTGAACAGTTTACTGGCAATACTATCTTCTTAGGCCTCTTGTGGAGATTACTGAAGTGCTGAAGGAAAAAGAGAACAAACTGTGCCCGAGGGCCAGATGCCATGCAAAGAAGGGCTTAGCAAATGCCAGCTTCCTTCTTTCATTTATTCTTAGGCCGCTTCCTCCCCATTTTCCTCAGGGGCTACATCTAATTCTATTAATTATCATCTGTTTCCTCAAGTTCCCTACCTAACTCACAACCCTTTGCTTCTAGCAGTTAATATCGCTTTTAATTTCTATAAAATTAAAATATTTCCCTCAATCTAGCCCTCCTCCACTCCCTCACCTGCAAACCTACCTTTAAGCCCATCCTTCCTCCCTTCTCCCAGTCTTAGAACCATTTGAAGCCAAGTCCTCTTTGCCTGGGAGGTTTTCTCCTTCCTGTGTCCTCTGGTCCTCATTCCATCGATTAGTCCCTCACTCTCTCTTTGTCACCGTAGTTCTATTGAGATATAATTTGCCTACCATGAAACTCACTCCTTTAAAGTATAAAATAATATTTTTAGTGTATTTGAGAAGCTTGCATTAATCACCACTACCTAATTCTAGAATATTTTCATCATCACAAAATGAAACCCCGCACCTACTAGAAAGTAATTCTGCATTCCCAGTCCCTTCCCATGCTCCACCCCCAGCTCTAGGCAATCACTTATTTACTTTCTGTTTTTTAGTTTTTCCTATTCTGAACAGTTTGTATCAAAGGACTCATACAATAAGTAGTCTTTTGTAAGTGGCTTCTTTCACTAGCACAATGTTTTCAAGGATTATCCATGTCGTGGCATGTATCATTACATCATTCCTTTTTATGTATGAATACTATTCCACTATATCCTGTTTGCCTGTTATCAGTTCATGGGCATTTGAGTTGTTTCTACTTTGTAGTTATTATGAATAATGACACTATAAACATTCATGTACAAATTTTTGTGTGGGCATATGTTTTCTGTTCTCTTGAACATATACCTAGGAGTCAATTTGCTGGGTCATATGGTAACTCTATATTTGACATTTGAGGAACTGTCAAATGGTTTCCTAAAGTGTATACACCATTTTACATTTCCACCAGCAATGCATGGGGGTTCTAATTTTCTCCATATATTTACCACATTTGTTAATATCTGTCTTTTTTATTATACCCATCCTGGTGGTTGTAAAATGGTATCCTATGTGTTCCTCATTTATATTTCCCTAATAACTATTGATGTTGTCTTAGTCTATTTTGCATTGCTATACCAGAATACCAGAGACTGGGTAACTTATAAAGAAAATAAATTTATTTCTCACAGTTCTGGAGGCTGAGAACTCTAAGACTGATGGGCTGCCATATGGTGAGGGCCTTTGTGCTATGCGTTAACATGGAGACAGGCATCAGAGGGGTGAGAGAGAACACAGGAGGGGCCTGAACTCTTCCTTCGTGAAGACCCTACTCTTGCAATAATGAGCACACTCCAGTGATAACAGCATTAATCTATCCACGAAGGCAGGGCCTTCATGACCTAATTACCTTTTAAAGGTCCCACCTCTCACCATTATTGCACTGGGAATTAATTAAGTTTCCAACACATGAATTTTAGGGGCCACATTCAAGCCACAGCAGATGCTGAACATCCTTTTCTGTTTGTATGTCTTCTTTAGGAAAATGTCTATTCAGATGCTTTCCCACTTAAAAACTGGCTAATTTGTATTTTTATTATTGAGTTGTATATTTATATATTCTGGATACTAGTCCTTTACCATATATATGATTTGCAAATATTTTCTCCCATTCTGTGTGTTGTCTTTTTTACTTTCTTGTATTTTCATTTTCACTTTCTTTTTACTTTTTTGTGCTTTTAAAAAGCACAGAAGTTTTTAATATTTATGAGGTCTAATTTATTCATTTTCTGTTATCATTACTTATGTTTTTGGTATTCTAAGAAATCATTGCCATGATCATAAAGATTTACTCTTACATTTTCTTCTAATAGTTTTATAGCTTTTGCTGTTACGTTTAGGTCCCTGATCCATTTTGAGTTAATTTCTATATATGGTATAAACTATGGAATTGTTGACCACATCTGTCTAAATTCATTTTTTTTTTGCATGTGCATATCCAATTGTCCCAGCACCAGTCATTGTAAAGATTATTCTTTCCTCCATTGTATTGCCCCGACACAGTAAAAAATCAATGGATTTTTTATATGTATATACATGTTCTCACTCATCTGTGAGAGCTAAATATTAAAAACAACGGATCTCATGTAGAGAGACAGTACAATTATGATTACCAGAGGCTGGGAAGGGTAGTAGGGAGGGGAAATGGTTAACAGGTACAAAAATATAGTTAGATGGAATGAACAAGATCTAATATTTGATAGGAAAATAGAGTGACTATAGTCAATGATAAGTTATTGCATATCTTAGAATAACTAAAGAGTGGAACTGGAATATTCCTAATACAAAGAAATGATAAATGTTTGAGGTGATGGATATTCCAATTACCCTGATTTGATTCATTCATACTGTATGCCTGTGTGAAAACATCACATGTACTCTATAAAGATATACGACTATTGTATGCCCATAGTAATTTTTAAAAAGGCATGAAAAACAAACAAAAATTGACTGAATATAAAGATAAGGGCATATTTCTAAATTTTCAATTT